GATAGCTCTTTAACACTCTTAATGAGTAGCAGGCTCTATTCAGTTTTTTTGTTGTATTTTGTATTTGTTCCCCCCAATTCAGATTCTGGTCAATATGGATACCAAGAAATTTAACTGATCTAGCAGTTTCCGTGTTTTCTGATAGAAAATTAATTGTATCTGGAAACTGTTCTCGTGACTGGCTGGTTTTAAAGTGGACAAAAACTGTCTTATCAGTATTAAGCAACAACCGATTTCCACTGAACCACTGTTCAGCCTTGCTTAGAATTTGCTCTGCCACTGTGAGGAGTGTTTCTAAAGTTTTTTCCCAGAAAAGCACATTTGAGTCATCAGCGAAATTTACAAGGTTTGAGGAACAACTAACCACCGCATTTGGAAGGTCGTTTATGTAGACCAAAAAGAGAAAAGGCCCCAGAACACTCCCCTGTGGTATACCTAATTTTAAATTGATCGGTTCAGAGTAAACCTTACATCCCCTTTTCTCCAGGCTTACCTTTTGCGACCTATCTGTGAGAAATGATTTTATCCATTTTAATGCTGGTCCCTGTATTCCATAAAGATGTAATTTTTGTAATAAGAGAACATGATCTAGGCTATCAAAAGCCTTAGATAGGTCCAAAAAAGCACCCAGTGTTTTCATCTTTGCCTCCAGTTTTTCTAAAATTTTTGATATAAAATCATAGGTAGCTGTCTCAACAGATCTCCCTGCGAGAAAACCATGCTGTGAACTACTAAATAAGTTGTTTGTAGTAAAAAAGTTTTGTAGTCTGAAATATATTGCTTTTCAAATATTTTTGAGAATGATGGAAGAAGGCTTATTGGTCTATAGTTCTCCATCTTAGTAACATCACCTTTTTTATGAAGTGGCTTGACAATTGCCAGTTTTAAATTTTGAGGAAATTTACCTTGCCTGAAAGAAGCATTAACTATAAAAGAAAGAGGAAGAGAAATCTCTAATGAAACATATTTTATTAAGTTGGTTGATATTTCATCATGACCAGAGCTATGCTTGTTTTTTAAGTTATTTATTATATGACTTATTTCTTTCTCTGAAACTGGAGTTAAAAACATGCAATGATAGTTTGTTCAATATTAATTTGAAAATTTTTTACATGCTTTCGTTAGAAAGCACTTGAGGGTCACCCTCCAAACAGAAATTACCTTGATTTTTGGAATTACCCTTAATCTCTTTTACCAATTGCCAAGCCATTTTAGTTTTATTTTCGCTATTTTCAATTCGTTCTTTATAACAATTTTTCCGAGATTGAGTGAGTAAAGAATTGTATTTGCGTTTTTCTGTCCTATAAATATCTTTATAATCAACATTATTGGTAGACAGTGTAAACAAAACATCAAGCCTAGATTTACAATGTTTTATATCATCATTTTGAAAGTACTTTTGTGATTTTTTTTATTTACCGTATTAATCTCTTTGAGTGGAAAACATTCTATAAAAAATTTCTGAACTATACTCATAAAAGCATCCCACTGATTATCTACTTCTAATGTCTCAAAAACAGATACCCAGTCTACATTACCTAACATGAATATAAATAAACTTTTATTCTCATTGCTAAATATTCGTTTTTTTATTATATTTGACTCAAATTCATTTAATTCAAATTTTACCTTTTGAGGAGTATGATCAGATGTATGAGGATTGAATACAAGGGAATCAAATAGATCAAGATTTGTAAAAATATTATCTATACAGGATTTTTTGTTACCTTGTATGCGTGTATAGTCTTTGATGGAAGGTTTTATATCAAAGGAGCTCAAAAACATTTTTAATGCGTCTGGCCACCTTGCACCCTCAAGCAGCATATCTAAGTTAAAATCACCAGCCAAAAAAATTATGGAGTCCTTGTCAACTAAATCACAAAGTATTTGGTCTAATTTATTCATTAAAACTTGTGGGTCTTCTGTTCGGTAGATGGATAGGATTACAATCTTCTTCTTATTAATTCGCACCTCTGCAGCGGAACAACACAGTTCTTTCTGATAAACTAGAAATATCTTCCCGGGCTTTTGCAATAAACGTGTCTTGGATGTATACCGCACTGCCACCATGCTCCTGTGAACTGTTTCTGCAATATGAAGAGATCAGTTTAAAATTCCGCACATTGTAGTCCCGCAGTTGTTCTTCTGTTTTCCAGTGCTCAGTTAAACAAAGAGCAAAGCATTCATCATGATCTTCTAGGATAAAATTAATGGCATCAATACTTGTTTTAATTGATTGCGTGTTTAAGTGGATTACTGATAATTTCTTTGGTGCTTTTAGTGCCGTAGACTGTCTTTTGACACTGGGGTGCCTCTGTACATTCTGAAAATGGTTAAAAAATTACACCATTCGGCCATAATTCTTGCTGCATTAAATCAGGTATTTTTAGTTCTGGAACAGTAATTTTAAATGAACTTTTGTACTTATCTGTCCTGGTTTTCATTTTTTCGCAGATAACATTTTCATCCAGTTTTCTTTCTTTTAGATAGTTAAGTATTTCCTGAGCTTCCGTTTTTGGATCGAAACCTGACAGGAAAATCGCCATATGTTTTGTGGCTACACGCAGGATACTTCCAGCATTCTCATTGGTTCCCTGGAGTGGATCTGGTCGTTCAATAAGTGTTGGACGAGGTGTTTTGTAAAAACCTCTTTTTTTTGGGTTTCCCATTTATCATTTTTATCTTCAATCAGTGGATGGTTTGTATCTTTAACAGGCGTCACGGGTGCAATTGAACTGCTTGATATTCTTGGTTTAGGTGGCAGCTCAGACAAATCAACAGAACAAAGTGGCTGTTCTGTGACTACTTCAACTGGCCTTGTAGTCTCTTTCAAATCATTTTGTTCTTTTAAAACCAATGGATTGTTATTGATATTATCAGTTTTTGCAGCATTTTTTATCTCCATGGAATTTTTTGTTAACTTTTTCTCTATGCTTTCTATTTTTTCCCATAGCAGCTTATTATTTTCCTCTAGGATTTGATTTTTACTTCTTAATTCACAAATTAGTTCATTTAGCAGATGAATGATTGTATTTTCCATGCCATCTCCACTTTTTAAGTTTATATTAGAATCACAACAAATCACACGCGTTTCATCTAAAATTTGAAGTTTTCCGGCCCAATCCCGTGCCGTGCATGATTTATGGAAGGCTTTTCCACACTTCACACATATTATTGTGCTTATTTTTTTAGTTTTGCAACAAGTAAACTTAGTTTTTTCGCTCTCAGTCTCGCGATCATCCTTATCGGACGCCATCTTTTTATTAGTAATCTTTTTATTGGTGCTGTTGAATATTGAATATTCAACAGAATGAAAACCATAAACCCTAGTCACGTCACTGGTAGATGGTAATTACTTATCTATCACTATCAATTTGTCCTAATTGCTTCAAGTTTTTGTTTGAAAGATAAAAACTAAAGCTATAAAGTTTTCACTGCAGTTATTGCAATTTACAAACAAACAAATTGTTTTTTTCACAAAAGGAAGATGATCTTCATATACCTGGTACTACCTATGCACATCTTGATATAACTTTATAATTTAATTGTTAATATTTAATATTTAATTGTTGAATGAGTATTAGTTGAATAATTAGTTTTTTAATAAGAGTAGTCAGATTTTGTGATGGATGTCTACAGAATTTGTAGTAGAAGCATCTGTAGATTTGCTGTCGTGGCAACCCTCTAATGCGCAAATTTTTATATTTCGATTAATTTTTTTTGTAATGCCCATTTGCTACAAAGCGGTTTTGGATACAATATTTCAATGTAAAAAAGATTTATTATTACCTAATAATATTTATATTTGGTCAAAAACATTGCATTAAGTATATTGGTGAAGCTAATGTACTGGTATATTTTACAGCTACTAACAGGCAACTTGACCAATTCTTATCATCTGTTAATTTACTCCATATCCACATTGAATTTTCAATAGAAACAGAATAGAATCAATCCATAAATTTTCTAAATTTAAATATTATCGGAGTTAAAAACATACAGTTCTCTGTATTTCATAAACCTACCCATATTGACACGACTATGTACAATTTATCATCCCATCCTACACAACATAAAGATAGATAGATAGATAGATCTTTATTCAAATAGAAAAAACTTAATATACATACAATATAAAGAATACACTATAAATTTTTGATATATTGTTTAAGTAACATTTTGAAATTATTGAGGCTAATACATTTTTTTACAGATATTGGTAACTGATTAAATTTAAGGAAGCCTTTAAGGGGACAGTTTCATGCGATTAAAAAAAAGACGTATTTTAAAATTAAAGCAGAAAAAAAACTATAATATTTATTAACATAATTCCTTTTGGAGATGATTAAGTAAGTCTTGAAGTACATAATAAAAATTTTTAATAGCGATTTTAACTTCATTGGTGTCCTGTAGATGACGTGTAGTAAAAAGTGCGTTTTTGGTGGTAAGACACTTTGTGGGTCACCTATAACAGATATTAAAAAAATTCAAAATGGGTTGTATTTGTGAGACTCAAAACTAGATGATAAACCTTTAAAATACGCAAATTGTATTATTTTGAAGAGTTTATACGAATTTTTCAATCAATCAATGAAAAATCACTTTATTTTTCGGTGGATTTACCCATATATAATAAAAAGGGGGCGTGGTTTTTAAATATTTTAAAGGTTTATCATCTAGTATTTTGTATATACATTCGAAAAATTTTGGGTTTTTTAAAATCGGTTAAGAAGGTTCGGAGTAAAGTGTCTGACCAGTTTGAAAATGTTACTTTTGAGAAAAAAGCATTTAAAGTTTTTTTTTACATAATTGTCGTGAATAAAGGGCTGATAACTTTATACTCACGTTTAATGTTCCATTCCTGGTGAATAATGAGGACCGTCTTCATCCAACAGTTGTTGTAAATGGCTTTGTAAAGCTGTAAATTTCAATACAACGTTGCGATGTTTTATAATTAATTCATTTGTTTGACTGGAGTCTCACTCTTAATTCACGCCGCGATGCTTCCAGTGTAAGTGTAAAAACGGAACACACCTAGATCGCATGTCAATTCAACGAAAACGTACTTATTTTTAATGTAGATATGAAAATATTTTATAACTAAAAAAATGATTATGTTTTATTGCCAAAACGGCTTGAAAAAAAGTTGATTTCTAAAATTAAAAATAAAAAGGAATTTTAAAAATAAAATAATTATATTACACTCTTTTTAATGTGAAATTATAAACAATATTTGGATTAATAAATGTATTTAAGTATACATTTTATAACTCAAATAATACCTAATGAACACAAACAAAATTGATGTTAATAAAACATTATTTATTATCTGCACAAAACCGGACTTTCAGGAAAAATCGGTAGACGGAGCAACACTGTCGGCGTGCCATATACGCTACTACAAACCGCTGAGGAGAAGTAATCCAGTGAAACAAATAAATTAGTTATAAAACATCGCGAAGTTATAAAGAAATTTACACTGGTTAATTGCAACGCAGAGAATCTTAATATTTAATATTATATAATATTAAATTAATATATATAATATATAATATAATATATAATATTAGTATATATTTTGTAAAAAATCCTATGTTCCGGATTTAACATTCCAAATGTTTATAGTAACTGCCAAACGTTATACTGAGATACATACTATATAAAAATAAATCACTAATACATACATACCCAACATATATACAACATATATATATATATATATATATATATATATATATATATACAAAAGCAAATAACTATAACCATAAAAATAACTATAACTTATATTCTAGTGGGAATTTCTTTTTAAAATTTTAGGAGGGAGTTTTTGAATGTAAATGGAAGCGATTTATAAAAAAAAAAAAAATTGATTTTTTGAAAGTTTCGCATGAGACTGTCCCCTTAAAAAAGAGCGAATTCATCGTACTTTTATACATAGTGCTAGGTACAAATATGTCATCTAAACCTCGGGTATTATAAGAATGAATACTTTTGTTGAAAGAAATGAATTTTTGAAAATATTCAGGTGATAAGCCATTTACTATTTTGAAGACCAAAATCATGGTGAAATAAAACAGTCTATTTTCAACAGAGAACCAATTTAGAGTATTTAACATCGTTCTAATTGGGGTACAACGATTTGTTCTAAGAATTATTCTCATTCCACGGTTGTGTAATTTTTGTAGCATGTTAAGTTTGTTAAGGTTAAATAAATATAAGATTGATGAGCAATAGTCAAAATGAGGTTGAATAATTGTGTTATATACTGTTATTTTTGACTCCATTGATAAATTTTGAGATATTCTACTCAGAAAGTAAGTTTTTTGATATTTTTTATGAAAGTACTCGAAGTGACTCTCAAAATTCAGAATATTGTCAAGCTGGAATCCCAAATATTTAACTGTTGTGACAATTTCAATTTTTTCATTATTAATATTTAAATTTATGATTTCAGAATCAAGTACGCTATATTTATGTTTGGTAATGAAAACCATTGCCTTTGTTTTTTTCACATTCAACTTCAGTTTATTCATTTTTAATATTTATTAACCATATCTAAAATAATGTTCATTTTTTGAATAGCTAAATCAAAATTTTCATCACTACAACAGATTAGAGGATCATCGACAAAAAGATTAATAAATTCACAAATTACAAAAAAAAGAAATAAGATATCGTTAATGTACAGAATAAATAAAAGGGGGCCTAATACACTACCTTGAGGAATCCCTATATTACTATCCATTTCAGATGACAATTGGTCTTTAAATCGAACTTTCTATTTGCAATCTTGTAAATAATTTTCTAACCACGCAATTACTGTGCCTCTTTTCACTTTCACTTCACAGTATGGCTGATCATTTCTTAGAAATATCAGAAGAAAACAGAATTTAGTTCTTAACACAACCATTTATTATTAGAGAAAAAATTATTTTATTAGCTGAATTTTTCTTTCTTTGTAGACCCAGTGACATCTCCGACGAAGTCTTCTTAGCAACTAGTTTAAGATGTGGACGTGTTTTAACGGCCAAGGAAAGACACGTTTGGAGATGGACGGGATTCCATTTTGGTGTCGATTTGTTGATGATTACGGACGATTCGACGATTTCCATTAAGAGGAATCACAGGTCTGAATTTGGGCAGCTTTTAAGTTTACAAACAACAAGACACGTAGCTATAAGGTAAGTGTTTGAACATATTTGTGCAAATCTAACAGAAATCGTCCTATAGATAGATGTGATGAGTCAATTATAGAAATGTCCTATTTTATGAATAATAAATATTGCTAATACTACGATATTAGAATTAAGTTTAATTCTCTCTGCTTCTATATTGTCTTTTACAAAAATATAAAACGACACGATTGGGGTTTACTGTATCGTCTGGTTTTTAAGAAATTAATGTTATTATAGTATCATAAACTTAGGTATCATAGTTTTTTTCTAAACAGATAAAAAATCATTTAGGTTCCTCTGTAAAATAAATTGGTTGCTTGTGGCCACTAGATTTTTAAAGGAGACATTAATTACAAGGGAACACTAACAGTAGCATTTCACGACCTTGACGGGCTCTCCATGTCTGCTCTCATTTCATTTGCACTCACCAGCACGGAAAACGGGAACCCTTGAATTTTTGATAAAATTGTCGAAACACACTTATTTTTTTATTGTAACTTTTATCGACGATTGGCATGCTCTGCCAATCTAAATCCTATAAACTTACAAATTTGTACAAAAAAAAAATAAATCAAATTGGGACCTATTGAATTAGAAACAAAATAAAAATAACAAGGAATCCAATACAAATTCTAGATTTAATTAATACCTCTTATTACCTCCTTCTTCTTCTTTGGGTGCCGTGTCCGTATTCAGACGTTGGCCGTCATCATGTTTACAATTTCCTGAAACCTTTCTCTGTCGGCTGCTGCGCGAAATAATTCTTCTACTGTGAAACCACACCATTGTCTAATATTACGCAGCCATGAAAGTTTCTTTCGACCAATCCATCTCTTTCCTTCCGCTTTTCCTTGTATTATAAGGCGAAGTAAATGGTATTTGGGTCCTCTAATTATATGGCCGAAGTATTCTGTTTTTCTCCTCTTTATGGTGTTTATGAGCAGACGTTCTGAGTTGATCATTTGAAGAACATCTTCATTTCTTCATTGGAAGTGTGCGAAACCCACGATATCTTTAGGATTCGTCTATAGCACCACATTTCGAATGCTTCTAACTTGTTTAGCATTGTGGTTTTTAACGTCCATGTCTCACAACCATACAATAGGATCGACCACACATAACATTTCAGGACCTTCTTACGAATGTTCATTGACAGGTTTCTGTTGCATAAAACTGGTTTCCAGGTCATAAAAGCCTTACGTGATATTTTGATCCTGGATATTATCTCTTCATCAGAGTCACAATTTACATTTAACCAGCTGCCAAGGTATTTGAAATGATTTACCCTTTCTATCTCTTCTCCATTAAGAGAAAGCAGACCTTGATCTATATGGATCTTTCCAACTGCCATCCACTTTGTCTTTGAAATGTTGATTTTTAGGCCTCTCCGATAACTTGCTTCACTGACTAGATTTAGTAATGTTTGGAGATCTTATAAACTTTCTGCAAGAATGGCTGTATCGTCAGCGTATCTAATATTGTTGATTACTTCTCCACCTAGTCTTACTCCCTCTTGTCTGTTATCCAAAGCATCCCTAAAGATTTCTTCAGAGTAAAGATTAAAAAGAGTGGGTGACAAAACACAACCCTGCCGTACTCCACGTTTGATGGGTATTTTTTCAGTGGGACTGTCTCCAATTTGGATAGAGGCTACTTGATTGTAATATAAGTATTTCAGCAGTCTTATATCATAGTGGTCAAGTCCTGCTGCCCGTAGGCAGTCGAAAAGTGTATTGTGTTGGACTCTGTCGAACGCCTTCTCGAAGTCGATGAAACAAACATAAACATTCTTTCGGAATTCACAACTTTTTTGTAATAGAACGCGCATACAGAATAGTGCCTCTCTAGTTCCTAGACCGTTTCTAAATCCAAATTGCTTATCACCCATCTTACTTTCGCATAGAAGGAATACTCGGTTTTGTATAATTCGTAAGAGTATCTTCAGTGTGTGACTCATCAAACTGATTAGCCTAAAATCGCTGCATTTGGTGGGCCTGCTTTTCTTTGGTAATGTTATAAACAGTGACTCTAACCAATCATCTGGTATTTTTCCTTCGTTGTAAATTTTGTTGAAGAAAGTGGTTAAGCAGGCAATGCTTTCCTCATCCAAAAGTTTAAGTAGTTCGGCAGGGGTTTGATCTGGTCCAGGTGCTTTATTGTTTTTGGCTTGCTGTATTGCCTTTTTGACTTCCGAATTCAGTATATTGGGACCTCTGTCCAACTGGTTGTCATAGGCAGTATTTGTAGCATTTTCCCTAGAAGCATCGTCAAAACGGACAGTGATGTATCTCTCCCATTCTTTGCACTGTTGTTCGTGATCACAAATTTTTCCGTCCGCGCTTTTAAGTATGTGAGCATTTTTCTGTTTTCTAATTCCGGCAGTATATTTAAGTTTCTTATGCAGGTTGAAGCTGTCATGCTTTTTTTGGAGGTCTTCTGTTTCTATTACCTCCACGAGTCTGAATAACGGGAATGATTCTTCTGGGCATGCTGTTAATTAAGTTTAAAACTTCATTATGTGGGATTGCTCCCCATTCCTCTAAAAGAGCTATTTTTAGACCTAAGTTAAAAGAAGCAGGTACCCGGCTTCGAATACTTCTACCAAGCCTGTCCCAAATATGTTCGATGGGATTTAAATCGGGAGTGTAGCTGGCCATAAAATTAGTGTGACATTTTCTCCAATAAATGGTACATATGAGACAATATAATTTTGTAGTATCTTATTTATGTACCTATCGCGGATCAGATATCCCCTAGGGACAACGTACAATCCTGTACGCGCCTCTGAAGATGTGCCAGCCTATACCATAACTGAACTTCATTGAAAACCTACTCTAGGACTAAAAGTACACTCGGCATAGCATTTACCATCTCTTCTGCGGACTCTTCCACGACCATTCGGGTAACGTGGGCAACAATAGATAGCAATAAAATAGACTTATTATGGATGAGTGAGATATAATAACACCGAAAGAAGTAACATCTGAAATCCAATATCAATCCTCGGAAAGCTTCTCGATTTGACTGAATAACTGAAGAAATTTTAAAACAACTACCAAAGACGGCTATAGTCAAATTGAATAATAATAAACGTTGCTTTTCGCTAAAAGTAGGTGCTTAGGATAGCGAAAAGTGTACCAAAAGAACACATAAATGAAGTTCAATTTAGATTCAGAGCAAGACTTGGAACGAGGGAATCACTTTTCAGTTTGCAAGTTCTTATACAGAGTCAGGGATGTCAACTGCGATGTGTACGTATGTTTAATTGATTTCGAGAAGGCATCTGACAAAGTACAACGTGGGAAACTAATCGATGCCCTCAAAACATCAGGATTCGATGGTAATGACATAAAACTAATACATATCAACCTTATATCTCCAAAAAGGAGACATAAGTGTGATTCGAAAACGAGCTGTTCGAGATCTTCCCAGTCGTAACAGGAGTTGGATAAGGTTGCATACTATTACCATTGTTATTTAACATATACTCTAAAGTATGTTGTATAATATTGTAGAAACATGTTACAAATATGGTCTAAACCTAAATTGTAAGAAGAAAAAATAATGTTTATTAGTGAGAAGACCAACATAACCACCTAATTTGAGGCATTTGAAATGTGCTACCGACGTATGTTAAGGATGTCATATATAAACATGACAAAGAAATTATTGACACCGTAAAGGACAGAAACTTGGTTTACGTCGTCCACATTATGCGTTATGTAAATATCGTTAAATATCGTTAAGTAAATACCGACTTCTTCAGTTGGTCTACAAGGCAAGATTGAGGGCAAGCGACTCTCTCGACGCAGACGTAGATGGATCAATGTAGTCGCCAACATCATTAAAAGCAACGAATATATGCGCATATAGAAGCACATTTCACATGGGAGAAATGGTCACGGTTCGTATACTTCAAAATACTCCTGTAGATGGCGACTGCATAAACTTTATTATATTATTTGTAGATTTCTACATATATAAATTAAAAATTTGAATCACAGTATTGCTTATAGTTCTAAACAGATTCAGTTATTACAAAGTATTCAAAGTTAAAATGATACTTTAATTTTTACAAAACAAATGATCCATGAGTAGGATTTGATCTCTAATTTTATAAAATGCAAAAATTGAAGGCATTACCAGCCCCATTCTTTCATATTTGAGAAGCATTACTAGTTTGTGGACCAGGGACGGCGCGGCGGTATTGTAGGAATCGAAGCAAAAAATGTAAAATGTTCCTGCATAGCATAAACCAAAAAAATTACGTTTTGTGGCTATTATGCCCAATGTGGGTTATTTTGTGGTTATTATGAATATGTGCCCATATTCGTTGCTTATTTGTTGCTAGAAGATAGTCACCTTCAGAAGAAGATTGGGCTTTCTAATATTTAATCGTATTGATACCATATTCGTCGGCTGTATGTAATAGTGGCACAACACAAAAACTGGTAATTTTTCAAAACAGGGGTTTAAAGTTTGTGTGCCAATAATTTTGTCTTATTTGTTTTACTACGTAGATTGGGATTTAAAAAATAATAATATTTTTTGGTTTATTTGGGAGAATGTTAGGTAGTCTTCAAATAATTGTAATACAGACTTTTAAATTCAACCTTTATTTTGAGTTGTGCCACTATTGCACATCAACATTTTGTCTTTCAAGACTAATTAAAACAAATACAAAACTGGCATTTTTTTTGTTATTCCTATCAACTGAAATAAAGACTACAAGTTACTTAAATGAGAAAATGTGTTTATTAACAACTATAAGAAGAACGAAATAAAAAAAGTATATACAGTAGAACCCCGTTTAACCGAACTTCGGTCAACCGAAACTCGGGTTAACCGAAACGATTGCGAAATTTAAAAAAAAGCGAAACGATGCGAAATTAAAAAAAAAGCAGCTAAATTAATTAACGCCGCCCCTGTTAAACCGAAACTATGCGCTGTGGGTGGCCACACTTCGAGAGATCCTCAACCGCGCGTGGCTCGCAAGTGTTTCCGCAGTTA